AAGTATAATAAAATTAGATATAAAGGTCGGTCGATTCAAAAGATGTCTTATTTAGCTCTCTATCCGAATCAATTAGACAAAAATCCCTCCATATCTAAATAAAATATTCGTTTTTACTTTTACTTCTATGAAAGCAAAAGCCCCTCCATACCCAAATAAATTAAATATTTTTATCTGTTTTTTTACTTCTGCTTCTATTAAGGCAAAAGTCCCTTCATATTCACTTCATTCGATACATGGATACCATCCATAACAAGTAAAAATCAAGTCATGAACGCGTAGTAGTAATTACTGTTAATTTTAACCCCACAAATATCCCCTCTTAAGTTTGTCTCTTGTGTTGTCCCCACGCGTTCAGCCTGCCTCGCCTTTAATTTTGTCCCCAGAACCGAGTACTACTGTATCTAAGTGGATATTTTTTCAAGAGCAGCACCACTCCACTCCTCTTAAGAGCAATGTAATGTATTAACGTGTATGGACTATAAGAGGCGACAATCATCTACAAATTATCATTAGGACTGAAGATGGCATGTGGAATTTAATCTAAAAAAGAAGTTAGTGTAGTGTCGAATAAAGTGGCTAAAGAAAACATTACCGACTTAGCAATTAGCAACTCTCATTGTCCTGTCCATGCAACAGTACCTAAAAAACGCGTAAGAGATTGGCATTAGTACTTTGACTATGAAGTCAAAGTCAACCCATCAATCAACCGCATGCATCAATTGGGACAAAGAAGAAAAATCTAGAAGAAGAATGACCCGAAATCATTTCCCTGCTGACCTTTTTTTTTTTTTTTTTTTTTTTTTTTAAGTAACAAAATCTACATGTACCAGCTTTTAAAGAGTAAATTATGAATTAGTCTCTCTATTTTTTAAAAATAAATTAATTAGTCTCTTTTATTTCAAACTCTAATTATTTAGTCCTTGACATTGTTGCCCACTCTAATTTAGTATTAGTTTGTTTCAAAAAATATATTTTTCTCATCAATTATTTCATATTTTTTTACTTATTTTTTCTCTATTTTTTTTAAAAAATCATAATAAATTAAAAAGAATAAAAATATTAAGTTATAAGAAAATTTAAAAATTAAATAATTAGTTTTTGAAGAAAAACGAGTGATTAATTCATTTTATAAAACTAGAGCATCTAATTCATAATGTACTTAAAAGAATATATGAGAAGAAAAACCAAATCATTTTTGCGCTGTTTTTTTTTTTTTTAACAAACAAACAAAAACATCTCCTAAGTAATAAAATATACACATACCAACTTTTAAATAATGTGTTTTCAAAAAAATCTATTAATTACCAACTCAAAAAGTCATATATCAACACACTTTTATTTTAGCGTAATACTATATGATATAAATAGATAAACAAAAAGTAAAAAATTTCAATCAAACTTTTCGATCCATTATTAAATAATTCGTTATTTTTTTATTGGTTATACAAATATTTTCCTATATTCTATAATTACAATTGAAATGGTGCATTATAAAGGTCACTGCTTCTTTGAGTGGTGATTAACTAAATTATTCTAGTACTTGGAGAATTATATAACTAAGTTATTATTATAGAATCTAAGATCATTTCCCTCACATGCATGCAATCATGATTGAGTTTTGCATTTGCACCTAATTATTCATCCTTTATGTGTCAATTGCTTGGCCAAGATAATTATAATATAGAGTAAATTTAAGTCAGTCCCTCTAGTTTTGCAAAAGAAATTAAATAGTATATCTTGTTTTAAAAATTAATTAATTATTATCTTAATATGTATTGACCAAGGTTACTTTAATATTAGTTTATTTAAAAAAATGTGTTCCTTTTCAATAATTCTTTCATATTTTTTTCGTTTTCTATTTGTCAAAATAAAAAATAAAAATAAATTGAAAAAGAATGAAATGGATTAAATAACAAAGATTAAAAATATAAAGATTAGTTAATTAGTTTTTAAAATTAGAGGGACTAATTTATAATTTACTCTTATAAGATATCTATGGAATAATCTGGTTCACTCATTTGGCAAGACCGACCATAGTGGTACGTAGGCCTAGGGACTTGCTTTTCCAGCAGGCCATTTTTTCTTCTGGTAATTAATCTCACATATTATTCTTATCCAACAAATTATAGTCTCTCAACCCATTACATACGGCTAGTATAGGTTATTTTTTAATTTTAAGTCAATAAAAGCCTTTTTTTTTTATCACTAATCAATATTTTCTCTAAAAAAAAAAAGCAGACCATTTTATTTTACATTAATGATTTTAATTTTTAAATTATTTAGGATAAAAAAATACTACACAGCACATGATCACGGTTAAAATTCCCATATGGATCGGAGTATTGCTACTGTTATACAACAATAAAGTATTGTTCCTAATTGTCTAGTAAAATCAAGAATTTATATAAAAAAAAAAACGTAATTTTCGAATCAGTTTATACGTTATTATTTTTGAAATGTTGAATATTATAATAAAGTAGAGTTACTTTATTTATTGCCATTTTTGTGATACGGTAGAATCATTTCCAATGAAATGCTTAGAGTAGAATAAAGCAACTTTGATTAAGACTACAATTAGTGTCTGTCAGAATTAAGTAGGTCCATTATAAGATACCGCTTCTGTCTAATACAAAAATCATTCTTAATTTCTCCAGCTCTGTTTGTTGTCTGCGTTGAGACACTACAAGTCACTAGCCAAACCAGCCAGGTAATCAAGAAGAGCTTTTAGCTTAGCACAACTGAAGAAGAAAATGGGGTGTGCTTTGGCAAATGGTCCACATCCACATCTGTTTCTGCAAGTATTCATCATTTGTTCCATTACTTTCTTTTGCTTTGGATTTGCAGCTTCAGCTTCAGCTAAGCTCCATGTTCAAGAAGGTAATGTAATATCTTCATTTCCACTTCACATATTTACTTTATTGGTTTCTGTGAATTCAAAGAGAGGTAGCAAAATTGTGAAAATTTTAAGAAAGATGATGCATGCTCTCATTTTTTTCATAAATGTTCTTACTTAAACTATATTCCATCAGCTCATGTAAGTAGTGTGTAGGATTTATATAGCAGAAGTTTCAAGATTAGAAAAGTTTTTTGTGGTTATTTTTTTTATTTTCCTTGGGATAAACTGAAAGAATATCAAGAAAGAAAATTGTTGATTATTTCCATATATGAATTAAGGGGCGTGTGTTTTGGATTGCAGTCAAGGTACTAAGAGAGATAGTGAAGAAGATGGGGAAGAAGGACTGGGATTTTAGCAAGGATCCATGTAGTGGAGAAGGGAATTGGAGTATTGTGGATGAGAGGAAAGGGTTTGAGAACAGTGTCACTTGTGACTGCTCTTTCAACAACAATTCCTCTTGCCACCTAGTAAGCATGTACTATAACTCTTCCTTCTTCCAAAATTAAAGATCTGTGTGTGATTAGTCGAAGTAGTGTTGCTCAATCTAGTTCTTGAAAGGATGTGTTGGGCTATATGTTCTAATTTTTCTGGAGAAATATCTTGCAGAGCTTTAAAGTCTCAGAATCTGTCGGGAATCATTCGACCGGAGTTTTCCAAGCTTCGCTACCTCAAACAACTGTGAGCAATAAATCGAATATTTCTATTTTTTGTTTTTTTTGTTTTTTGTTAAACTTCATTGCTATTATTGATTAATCATGCATTCAATTGTCAAGCAGGGACCTTAGCCGCAATCTCTTCACCGGTGTTGTACCTCCCCAATGGGGTACCTTGCAATTAGAGGAGCTGTAAGGACACCTGCCACATCCTCTTCTTTTCTCTTTTCAGAATACAATTTAGATGCTTGACCTGAAGTTTCATCCTTTCATAATGTATCTATGCAGCTCTATTATGGGGAATCGATTGTCTGGTCCATTCCCGAAAGTCCTTACCAACATAACCACCCTCAGAAACCTGTATGTAGAGTTCTTTTTTTCAGTCTGTAAATATCTATGAATTTTAGAGATAGTGGATCATCTGTTGAGGGCTCAATATTGAAATGCAGTCACTCTGCCAGTCAAATCATACAAGATAAGATTGGAAACATTTTAAAGAACTCCTTGGCTAGGCTTAAGAGGCTTTAAGTATGAATTTTGATTAGGAAGTGACATTAACATATCCATTCCTGTTACAGGAGCATTGAAGGCAATCTGTTTTCTGGACCCATTCCACCTGAAATTGGAAAACTGATTAATTTACAGAAACTGTAATACCCTTTCTTCGTCTTCATGCTTATGGATTCTAGATCTTGTATCATATAATGTTAACGATATTATTCTTAACGTCATCTCTCTTCAGTGTTTTCTCCTCAAATGCACTGACAGGAAAGTTGCCTGCAGAACTTGGCAACTTGGTCAACTTGACAGATATGTAAGCAGACACCCCTTTTATTGTTTCTTTTAATTGAATTCACAGGTCTTTGGACCAAACAAATATCGATTACTTAGATATTTGATGTCTTTATCTTTGGATTTGCCATGTCTGGGTGGTTTGACCCAAAATCTAATGCAATCAGCTCTATTACCACAGGAAATGTAACTGATTTTGATGCCAAGAAACTCATATTTAACATGATGTGATTGTTTAGATCTTTCAGTCTTCAATGCTGATAATTTACCCATGCTGAGTGATCAAATTTAGGGGAAATAATGTTATTGGAATTCTTTTAAATATATATATATTTTCATATGTGTGATGTTCTTCCTCATTTTGTCTGAGTTTTGTGGTAAACAATACTGCTTTCAGAACACTATCTGAGTTTGCATTCCTTTGACGCCTTTTAGGAGGATAAATGATAATAATTTCTCAGGAAAGCTACCTTCTTTCATCGGTAATTGGACACAGGTTCAGAAACTGTGAGTTTCCAAGGTTTACGTCTTTATGCTCAACTTCTCTTTTTCTTGTAATTTTTTTTGATAATTGATGGATACTTTTGTTGTTACTGTTTTTATTACAGGCATATACTAGGTTCCTCTCTTGAGGGGCCCATACCTTCTAGCATTGCTTCCTTGACCAGCCTAAGTGATTTGTAAGCAATCAGAATATCTAAATTCTATGTTTTTGTTTATATAATGTGTATATTGACAGATTGTTTCTCTGCCTTATGAACTTGTAGGAGGATCAGTGACTTAACAGGAAGAGGGTCTTCTTTCCCAGAACTGAGTGATATGGAATCCATGAAAACATTGTGAGTTGAAGTTCTAATATCATGTGTTTTTCTGTTGGAACTCTTATCCTTTGATTTGTATTCAACATCGATAATAAACACTTGACAAAAATTTAAAAAATGCAGGATCTTGAGAAATTGCTTAATATTTGGAGAGATCCCAGAATATGTTGGGCAGCTGAAAAAACTGAAAAATTTGTAAGTGATTCCGTCCAAAGGCTCTAATGATTTCCCTTCAAAGCAATCTTTGTTGATATGGTTATCATTAACTTTCTCAAGAACATTTCTCAGAATTTCCAGAATGTTTTGGGTGCCACTAAAAAATATTAGATGAGTTTTCATGAAATGGCTTGTTCTCATGGACTCCGATTTGTCTTCAATGGCCTCGGAAAAGTGCCAGACAGGATCTCCCTCTCTTAGGCTCGTCATTTTCTTGCAGAGCAATCATAAAAAATTTCCTATATTCTTTTAGTAATGACAAAGAACACTTTGATGTGAGTGAGGTTCTTGAGGTTCTGATGCATCTGATACAATTGAATGCCCTGATCATCTGCTGTGTCTTGGAAAATCATTCTTGTGACATTTTTTGGATCCTCAGGTATCAGGTTTCAAAATTTGATACTGATGTCCGAAACTAAGTGGTAGTAACTTAAATGTGTGTCTCTTCGAACCTCAATGGAGTGCTTTCAAAAATTAAGATTTTCCAGTTGAATCAATGGCCAAATTTTATCTTAGAAAACAATAAGATTTTCCATTTTTAAGCTTTCAGTTGGAAGCGCAATTATGACCTATGTCAACACCCCACTTACTACAGGACAAATGCTTTGTGAAGAACTGGAAAACTGATAGAATGATCACCACATAGTTTCCTTTTATTTATTTAGTTTATTTTCCCCATCTTTCTCCTCTTAAGTATTTTTATTTCATATCAATCTAGAGATCTCAGCTTCAATAACCTCACCGGAGAAATTCCTGTGTCATTTATCCAACTGGCAAAAATAGATTTCCTGTAAGTTGATGTGGTATATGTTTACATTTCTTTCATATATTTCTTGTCTGCAAGCTTCTAAGTAGCCTAATATTTGTCATTTATAATTTTTCTAGGTACTTGACAGGAAACAAGCTCACTGGATTTGTTCCTGAATGGCTTCTGCAAAGAAACAAGAATGTGTATGTCTGATTCCTCTAGATTTATTTTTCAGCTTGAAGTTTTACTCCTACACAAATTTCTATTCCAGAACTTCATAGGTGATTACTATTTTAAGTTCTTACATTGGTTTTGTCTTCAGGGATCTTTCTTTAAACAACTTCACTTGGCAAAGCTCAGTTCCAAATGAATGTTCTCAAGGGAGTGTGTGAGTGATCATTAAAATGTTTCTTCTTCTTTAGAAAAAAGAAGTAGCCTAGATTCTTATTTAGATACATTATTGTGAACCATATCATTTACTTCTGCAGGAACATAGTGGAGAGCTTCTCACCTTTAACAATTAAATCGTAAGAATCTCGAACCCTTACTCAAATATTTGTTATAAGATGTTGAAGAATTTTTCCTTTTTCTCCTCCTTTTTCATAACAATTAATTAATAATTTCAACATCTTGTGTCAATAAAATCATATGAAGTTTTGATTTCTACCATCTATGTTGCAGAAGTAAAGTCCATTCATGCCTGAAGCAAAACTTTCCATGTTCTGCTTCCCGAAATAAACGTGAGTAGCCTAACATACATTTTATTCCACAACTAGATCAGAAAAGCCTACCTATATTTGATTTAACGAGTTCTCCATTTTTTAATTTTTTTCGGTAAATATTTTTGTATCTGAATCCTTCTTTATATTCTCAATATTTGTCAGAACAATATTCCTTGCATATTAACTGTGGTGGAAATGAAATAAATGTCAATGGCAACACCACGTACCAAGATGATAAAGAACCAAGAGGTGCTTCTATGTTTTACTCCCATCCAAGCCAGAACTGGGCATTTAGCAGCACCGGGAACTTCATGGATGATGACAGTGATGCAGATGCCTATATTAGAACCAACATGTCTGTTATATCTAATGTCTCTGCTACCAATGCACGGCTATACACAACCGCACGTGTTTCTCCCCTTTCTCTCACTTACTATGGGCTTTGCCTCATGAATGGGAATTACACAGTAAAACTTCACTTTGCTGAGATTATTTTCACAAATAACAGGTCATTGTTTAGTCTTGGGAAGCGTGTATTTGATGTTTACGTCCAGGTAACCAAAATTTTGCACATGAGAGTGCCTAAATTTTGTATCCATATTTGTTTACTAATTAATACTTGTGCGGAATCTGTGAATATAGGGAAAGTTGGTTCTGAAAGATTTTAATATAGAAGATGAAGCTGGTGGTACTGGCATACCTCTTGCAAAGACATTCATTGCAGCAGTAACACATCATACATTAAAGATCCACTTATATTGGGCTGGTAGAGGAACAACAGGCATACCACTCAGAGGAATTTATGGTCCTCTCATATCAGCTATATCAGTAGATCCAAGTAAGTCAGATTCAAAGTTCATACTTACTTCAAAGGTCATTGTGCTCAAAAGTTGACAGCTCGAACTTGAAAAATTACGAAGCTGTAATGGAAAGCTTGGCTGAGCCCTTATATAAATGATTTCCCATAAAAGAGGACTTTGTTTCTGGTAATTTCTTCCATTGAGGTCCACTTTGGTCAGGTTGCTAGCACACATTTGATGTTTGTTCATCTCCGTTCCCATCATTTGTCATATCTGAAAAATGTTACCAAACACTTGACTTGAGCAACTACGACACAACAAGGTTTGATAAACATGCTGAAAAGATATTGGTTTTAGAGAGGCTAGGGGATGAAATATAATGACTTATGAATGTAACAAGCTAGGACCGATTACTAAAATTGGGACTGAAGTACTTTCACTATTAATACTGCCTTGCGAGAAAAACTTTTTAACTGTGCTTAGGCCATCGAATGAACTGATATATTTGTACCTTGTGAGTTACATTCTCTAGTTTTGCTCTTTTACTCATTCCTATAAAACTTGACCAGATGACAATAGTTTCGTTACTTGTACAGACTTTAAACCACCTTCAAGTAGTAGCAAAAAGAATGTTGTAACCATAGTGACTGGAGCAGTAGCTGGAGCTGTTTTTCTTGCCCTTCTGTTACTAGGCGTCATGTGGAGAAATGGCTGGCTTTGTGACAAAGTCTCAACAGAAAAAGGTATAGGTAGTTCTTTTGGGCTCCTTATACGAAGGGGAACAAAATATAACAACTTTTTTGGCATCTTTACTTGGATTGCCAAAGTCAATACTCAATTCTCATTGCATTTTCTTTAGAAGATTTTAAAATGTTTTCTTTGATTTCCCTAAATATTCTCTTTTAACATTTTCCTGTGAACTTAAAATACTCTGTTTGATACTCTTAAAGATACAAACTTTTTCACTGAACATTTAAATACTCTCTTTGACATCGAATACTGTGGTCTGGCAGAGCTAAGAGGCCTAGATTTACAAACAGGAATTTTCACACTAAGACAGATGAAAGCTGCCACCAAGAACTTTGATGCGGAAAACAAAGTCGGAGAGGGTGGTTTTGGTTCTGTTTTCAAGGTAATTGCATCTTTGATAGTGTATGTCATCTGTCATAAATACTCTTTATAAGTTGGTGGTAGAAAAACAGCTACAACAAGAAGTCAAATGTTCTCCATAAAATTTTTTGATTCTTTCTAGTTTTAGGTGTAGTACAGAAAATAAATAAATCAGTGTTAATTATTAATTTTCACCTATAAGTTTGAGGTGGGGACTTTTCACTATTGAATGCAGGGTTCATTATCAGATGGAAATGTGATTGCAGTGAAGTTGCTTTCCTCAAAATCTAAGCAAGGAAACCGTGAATTTGTGAATGAGATAGGAATGATATCTGCACTGAAACATCCAAATCTTGTAAAGTTATATGGATGTTGTGTTGAAGGAAACCAATTGATGCTTGTATACGAGTACATGGAAAATAACTGCCTGTCCCGTGCTCTTTTCGGTGAGTTCATCTATTCCTTCCATCAGAAGCATTTTGAAGAAAGGAATTTTGTTTGGCAATCAAAAATCATTTTTTTTTATTTTCCATTATTTACAGGGAAGGATCCCAATTTCAGGTTGAAACTGGACTGGCCTACCAGGCAGAAAATTTGCCTAGGTGTAGCTAGAGGTTTGATGTACCTTCATGAAGAGTCGACAATAAAAATTGTGCATAGGGATATAAAAACAAGCAATGTGTTGCTTGATAAGGAACTCAATGCCAAAATTTCTGATTTTGGTTTGGCAAAGCTAAATGAAGATGACAATACCCACATCAGCACTCGGATTGCTGGAACTATGTAAGTCTTCACCAGGACCTTGTATATTTTCAAGAATGAATCTCTTTCTGTGATTTTTATCTTGTGTATCAACCCTCTTTCAGTCAAATCTCCATTCTCCAATAGATAGGCCTAAATCCATTGTCCATATCTCGGCAGATATACCTTTTCCGTGATTGTATTCTTGAAGTGGCAGGTCTCAAGGCTTTGCCCTCTTCTTAGTTGCAAGCCATCATCCCAAATTTTTATTTTTTTTTATGATCACTTTACCTTGCGGGATGGTGCAAAAGGATTCATATAACCTGTCCCAACTAGTTTGGGATTGAGCCTTGGTTGTTGGTCTATGACCATTTCTTCAGACAATAACCCTTGTATTTATAACCCTTGATCATTTATATTATCACAATGAAATGGCTGTTTGAGAATGAAATTGCGGATTGTGTAGCAAGTTTAACCATCTTTTTTTTTTTCAGTGGTTATATGGCTCCTGAGTATGCAATGCGTGGCTACTTGACTAACAAAGCAGATGTTTATAGCTTTGGAGTTGTTGCTTTGGAAATTGTCAGTGGAAAGAGCAACACAAACTATAGGCCAAAGGAGGAGTTTGTTTACCTTCTTGACTGGGTAAGTTTATACTCTTTTGAAGTTTTCGGTTTCATCCTCAGAAAGTGAAATTCCCTAGCAGTTTGTAAAATATTTGATGTTATTCTTGGTTTAATAGCTCTTTGGAAAACATAACATAGTATCTGTATATGAACTAGTAATTCTTATGTTTCTTATCAATTTTGTATATAATGTTCTTTGAATTCTCAAATTATTCAACCTCATAAAAGACTGCAGTCTTATCTGCCAAAGACAGCCCGTCACATTTCTTAATTTGTTTTAGTTCCTGCCATAACTTATATCTGCATTTGTTGTTCTTTATTTCTGCTAAGCTTCCTAGACTCATATTACAGCATTGAATACACTATAGCATACTTATGTGGATGTATCTGGGATTCTGCCAGGCCTATGTTTTGCAAGAGAGAGGAAGTCTTTTGGAGTTGGTTGATCCAGAATTGGGGTCAGAGTATTCTTCAGAGGAGGCTATGGTGATGCTAAATGTCGCTCTCTTATGCACCAATGCATCCCCAACTCTTAGACCTACAATGTCTCAAGTTGTGAGCATGCTTGAAGGCCGAACTCCTGTTCAGGACCTTCTTTCTGATCCTGGGTTTTCAGCGATCAACACAAAATACAAGGCTATAAGAAACCACTTCTGGCAGAATCCAAGCCAAACCTATAGTATGTCTATAAATGGATCCTACCGTACTGATTCTACAAACTCATACATAGAACCAGAAGAGGCTGGCCGTCTTCTGAGAGTTAGTTCAGTAAAATCTAATTAGTAAATGCTGTATCATATATATTATCTTGAACTAATTTGCAGAGGTGGGAAAAGTCCCTAATTTGCAGGGTTTCCCACCCAATGTATATTCTCTGTTTATACATATGAGGTGGGGAAAGTCCCAATGTATATTCTCTGTTTATACATATAGCTAGTCGCTTCTTTCAATGAATTTTCTTGAATTTTGTTGCAAATGATAAGCCTAGACTATATGGAACACCGAGTTAAAGCTGCAAAGAAAAATTGGGTGAGTAGTACTGACAGGACTAAAGCACAGATGGAACATGGAATGATTCAATAATCCATGAATGAGGAAGCATTTTGCTTGATTTTCTGCTCTTTCTGTTCTTTTTTCTTTTTCAGAATTCAAGAGCATACCCACTTGTATGAGTAAACTCTAACTGATAATTCAAAAGATACATTGTTGATTGAAAGCCTGGCCTGGAAAGAACCAAAGATATGCACCCAAAGAAGAAACACTTGGCCTTTTGTTTTCCAGGATATCTGGTGTAGACTCAACTCTACCATCCAAGGAATGCAATCGCAAGTGGAGCTTCCCGGTCCATAGGCCAAAACTACATCTGATATTTCACTTATTCTTTTGCCCGGGTTGCTTAGTCCACAAGACTTATCACCGTCACCCAAGAACAACGCTTGATTGCCCAAGCCCCAAGCACCCATTCCGTCCTCAAAAGGTCTAGCATTTGAACATGTTGAGTTTTGCAAATAGACCATGAAATTTGTTCATCTGAAGCAACTCAATTCAATAAATCCAGAAACAAGCAGCCAGGACGTGAATGCCTCGACTTACTTCCAGCATTCTTACATGAGGTTGAGAATCTAGCAGATTTAACGTCCCAATTCTAGCATCTCCAGTTGCAACATATGCTTTACCCTCGAAAACAGCTACATCTTCAATCCAAGTGAACAAGTCCCAGTCAATAGTATGGTCAATGACCATCCAATCGCCCTCACGACTACGTCTATAGAATTGTTAAAAAAGGTATATATTAGGAAAAGCTATGACAACAAATTGTTGATGGCCAGAAGAAACTGCAAGAATGAACCTACAATAGCGATTGCATTTACCAGGAATATCAAACTGATGCCCCGTAAAAGGATTTGCATTAACGCAGACCATTTTTTGTCCTCAGTATGTGTTACAGTTACAATCCCAGCAATGAAGAACTCAAAGACGAATCCATTAATCTACGTTATTCTCTGATATCACAGTTTTATTCAATGATAATGTTATGAAATACGAGAAGAATTGTGAAAATCCAGACAGAATATCAGAGGAGAGGAAGAGAGAAAACAGAAGAGAGTTTACAAAAGATCCAAGACAAGACAAGACTGCTTTCTGCACAATCCTCTCATTTATACAATCAGTTTCCCTCTCAACGAACTAGTAACCAAACTTTTCCTACCAATCTTCATTTTCATAGCTATGCCTTCACTTTAGTTGATCCATGTCAGCACTGCCATCAAGATTCATTCCACATCAGCGCTATTATCTGCAACACTGGCACCTATGTTTGCCGGGTCACCATCATGATTTTCAAAATTTTGATCTGTATTACTATGTTCCTCGGCCGTAGCAAGAAGCTCCTTTCTATTTTTCCCAAAAACAGTAGACATGTCCTGGAAAGAAGAAAAATGTTCATTATTATTTACTGCTATGGAGGGGGAAAAAAACAGCTTTAAAAGATGAATTTTTCTATATCATACCGGGAGAGGGAAGCACGGGGATTGCATGTATACACTATTATAGTGTTCAATACATGTTTCTTTACTCTTTGTGTTCACATGCACAGCAACTTCCTCCCAGTTCCCAAATCCAAACATTTCAAGTCCCTAAGGAGCATGAGAATTACCTACCAGTGAAGACTAAAAATTTCCAACTAAACAAATAATAGTAATAAAAAAAAAAGCTCTAAAAAATTGAAAAGAAGAGAGTCAAACTCACAACACCTCTAGAAGCAGCATTTCTTCCTCTGCATTCCAGTCAGGGAAAAAAGTGAGAAAGATAGATGTTCCTGTAGAAATGAAAATTCCAACGTTAAAGGTTGAACACTAGGCTCACGTACGAATCGAGACCATAAACCTGTAAAATAATGGAAGAATAATGAACAGAACAATGCAAAATAACAAGTTAGCAAGTTGATAGAAGGACTAGGACTGACCATAACCATGTAAGGGTGATTACTTTTATGAGGTGGAACCTCTTCTCCTTCGGAGAAACACTCTACACATAGGTCAAAATCAAGGCATTCAGCACATTTGACACGGATCTTCCCTGTTATATCTTTGTTGCAGAAGTTGCAATGGTATAATGCCTTTTTCCCATGACTACTACTTCCTTGACCTAAGCGCATTCAAAAGTAAAGAAGGAAACGAAGAAAAGGTCATCAAAATGTGCAGGCAAACGAAATCAATCATCCGTAGGTTACATAGAGATCATATGCATGATAATACTCTGAAGAACAGAAAAGTCGAGTAATAACAGCAGCATCAATTGTTTTGTAATCTTTGAAATATTATTCAGTACCACCTTAACCATCTAGAAGTCTCTACAAATTATAGTTTTTAAACCCTCTTAGATAACAATTACAAGATCCTCTCATAGATTCCACTGTTCAGAATAGGACTGCGACTTGTATTTTCTATGCTAGTCACTACTCATGAAGTAATCCCTTAGGTGAAACAACTCTGTAACATGATGTTCTCTTATACTATGCTGCAGGTAATCATGAACAATTTGCTGTCAAAGTTCAAGTCGCAATTCTTTTTTATTATTATTATTATTTTTTTATTGATGGAAAGGTACCTGCCGACGAAGATTCTGAAACCTCTTTACTTGCAGCATTCTTCTTCTGTCTTGATCTGCAATGCCAACAACGAAATTCGGATTATCCAGTTATACTACATTCATACGGAAAAATTGATAATCAGTAATAACATAAACAAAAGTAATTAGAAACTATCTGCATTAATTACGTTCACTTGTGCACAAACACATTCTAGATTAATAAATTCTAGCAGATGAGTCATGAGACACACATTTCAAATGCATTTCCATCTTCCATCTCACTAACATTATGAAAGACACACACAAGCAACTCAAACAAAAGCAGCAAACCAAACAAGTCAAAAATTGTACCACAAACCAAGAAATCAGACAACTTTAAAAACACAAACCTCTGAGTAGGGTCTTCATCATTAGAGTGAGAATTGTCACAAGAAGAACTCATATCGTTTCGTATCTCAGTATGCTCACGAGTACCTGTTTATGTTTTGGTATATAACACGAATGAACAAGACTATTTAAAAGGTTCAGATAAACCATAACAGTGGACACCTTAAAAAAAGGTGAACATCTAAAATTGGCAAAGAAAATCAACATCTAATGATAAATATACAAAAGGGGAAATAATGGGTCAGCATCAAAATTGAGATAACACAAATTGCTTGGTGTCAAATCTCAAGATTTCAGATCTTTTGCATCATTCTTGTGGATTTTGGATAGAATAGTTCTGGTGATAGATTTTAAAATTTCTTAGTGATGGTACCGCTGAAGATCCCCTTCTTCACAAGCATATCATACACCCTATCAACTTTGCTTGCTTCAATACTGAACAAGGGGTGAGCATCCGATCGCTTGCTGATTTTACCGCTGAAGATCTCATTGGTCATCACCATCTGCATCTTGAGGTAGTCAGGCGGAGGAAGATGAATCTCGCTGCATAGTCGTTTTTCCTGCCGACGCATTAAAGTAAGCAACTTAAAATGGCAATGCGAAAGACATTATATATACTTGGGGGATTCACAATAAGGCAACGCATTATATCATTGGACAATTCTTGTATCAATTTTAACTTATGGAATGATGAATGATCAACAATAAAGAACAGACATCGTTTACAAATTTTGATGAAGAAAAGCTAGCAACCAGGGATTTGATACTTACAGTTTCAGAAAGTAGCTGCGTTTCATAAAAGCCTGTTATGTCCAAATCACTGGCATAGCTACAAGAGCCCTGTCCTGCAGGTCTCGCGCTTGAATCCTTCCCAACAGACTCTGAAGGTATGAATGCAATGTGATTCCCCTGATTGCTAGGACCAATCTGAGCATTGTGTTTTAGCCTCTTGGAACTTTCCTCAGCTTTCTTTTTTCTCTTCTGCTCGAGATACCTGTCTGCCTCGGCTGTTGTGCGGCAACCAGCGGCATTGGCTTCCTGCATATTTACAGAATATGTGAAACAATTAGGCATGCTAAGCATTTTCATAGAGAAATGCATGTTTTGCACATTTTAAAAATATGTTCGGAGTATTAGGTGTGACTGGCAATTTTTCTGTTCAAATCAGTGTCTGCCAAATCCTGTTTATACATGCGATAGCAGCCAATATTATTTATTTCAAGAAACTAAGGAATCAAGTAATTATAAAGGTGCATTTTCGTCAGAAATCATATACGTTCAGCTCTTCGATCCTTTTCAGTGTTCGGTGCTCCTCAACAACAGCCTGAAGCAATTCCTCATGCTCTTCCTTGGAATGAAATCTCATGAATCTGTCAAAAGGCCGACATAATGCTCTCTCTTCTGGAGTCAAGTCCATTTCAAAAGGACTTGGATGCTGCAGATTTCTTTCTAATATGAAATCCATTCTGCGCTTTCTCTCGTCAAGCCTGTCAATATCCAGCCAGGTTATATAATTGTGAGACCAAATTCAACGAAATTACAGATATATTTGGTACAAGCAAGTAACTTGGCAGCATATCTTTCAACATTAAAAATAAAAACTCAGCATAAAAATCAGAGGTTTCTATAAACAAAATAATGCACATTACACAAATAAATCAGGCCAAATATGTCTGCTCTGTAATTTCATTTCCATTCCCCATTAGTTTATGCACCTTTTAACTTTATGTCTATATTTATAGCTCCCTAATCCTCCCATGTGAACAAGCATAATGTAGCAGAGTAAGTTCAGACTAGAAACTTGCAAAGTCAGTTCGTTGACTCCCTACCGCTTTAAATATATATGCAGCACTCGCAATTTCAGCTCACGCTCTTCCTTGGTTTCAGTATCATTGAATTCCATCTCAGCTACCAACTGCTCAGCATCATTGTCATATTCAGGATCAAACTCCTGCCTCTTGCAGTTATAACCACTCAACTCCATTAACGATGGACCCTCACTCCTTGAGGAATTTGGTTTCTTCCCTTCAGCATTTCGGCCCACTCGAGGAACTGCCACCAGAAAACAGGTGATGACTTAACTTCCCCGCTAAATTGTTCACAAATCAAGTAAGCAGACAATATCACAGTAGTATCCTACAAACTAGAAGCAAAGAAGCAGCAATTTTCAATGGGAGACAACATCCAAATCTCTTCTTTTTAATTATATCAGATGACAGAGATTTTTTCCAAAACCATCAAGAATCTAAAGGAAAATGACAGCAGAAACAAGTATCAGCCATTGAAAGCAATTTGGATAAGAAAATTCATGTATCAGACCTTCCTCTTTATTGACACGTGGTCCATCTTTATCCGAGCCCATACTTTATGCCTTCTTATTAGCAGCTGCTTCTGAAGAATTTGTGCTATTAGGATGGCCTGCAGATACTACCTCTGAAGGTTCAAAAAACAAGGATCAATTGCTGCAATGAGATTAACACAGACCTTTTTTTTTCCTCACTATGTGTTACAGTTACAATTCCAGCAACGAAGAACTCGAAGAAGAATCAATTAATCTATGGTATTCTCTGATTTCACAGGTTTTATTCAATGAAAAAAGTTATGAAATACAAGAAGAATTTTGAAAATCTTGAGAGAATATCAGAGGAGAGGAAGAGAGAAACAAGGAGAGAGTTTACAAAAGATCCCAGGAAAGACTGCTCTCTGCACAATTCTCTCATCTATACAATCAGTTGCCCTCTCAAATAACCAGTAACCAATTAACTAACTTCTTAACAACATTTCCCGCCAATCTTCATCTTCATAGCTCCCAAATGATTAATATCAGCACTGCCATCAAGATTCATTCCACATCAGTACTCTTATCTGTACTATCATTATTTCGCAAATTTTGCTCTCTATCATTATGACCCTTGGCCATAGCAAGAAGCTCCTTTTTATTTTTCCCATCAACATGAGACATATCATGGAAAGAAGAAAAATGTTCAATTCTACTTCTATGATGAAAAAAAAAAAAAAAAAACAGCTTGAAAAGGGGAGTTTTTCTATTATCATACCGGGAGAGGGAAGCACGGGGATTGCATCTATACACTATTATAGTGTTCAATACATTTTTCTTTCCTCTTTGTTCCCACATGCTCAGCGACTTTCCGCCAGTTCCCAAATCAATACATTTCAAGTCCCTGGGGAGCAACAGACATATCAGAATTACCTTGCAGTGAAAAACTAAAATTTCCAACTAAACAAATAAAAAAAACTCTCTTAAGAAAATGAAAAGATGAAAGTTAAACTCAAAACATCTCTAGGAGTGGCATTAAACTCAAAACATCTCTAGGAGTAGCATTAAACTCAAAACATCTCTAGGAGTAGCATTTCTTCATCTTCATTCCAGTCAGGGGAAAAAGCGAGAAAGATAGGTGTTCCTGTAGAAATGAAAATTCTAACGTTATAGGTTGAACGCCAGGCCCACGTAGGAATGGAGACCATATAGGTATTGAAACTAATTAAACCATGAAGGAATGAACGCGATACAGAAGTGACCATTTGATAACATGAGAAAGAACATTTCAGTATGATACAGTTATCCAATACTAAATAGAGATGTAACTGGAAAGCCAAAATTTGCTACATATTTCATCAAACAAACCAGTAAGTTTCCCACAATGATATAGGGACAAGCTTAACGCCATATTAAAGAAAAGCAAGGAACAAACAATCGAAAATAACAAGCAAGCAAGTTGTTAGAAGGAGAAGCACTCTACACATAGATCAAAATCAGGGCAGTAATTGCAATGGTACAATGGCCTTTGCCCATCACTGCTTCCTTGGCCGGAGCACATTAAGACGTAGGAGAAGAAAATCAATCATCCTTAGCATACACAGAGATCATATCCATGACAATACTCTGAAGAACAAATAATTTGAGTCATAACAGCAGCTAGCATCAATTTTTTTTGACATCTTTGAAATGTTATTCAGTAATTAGTACCACCTTAGAAATCTCTACCAACTATAGTTTTTAAACTCCCTATTAGATTACAACTACAAGACACTCTCATAGATTTTATTGTCCAGAATAGAACTACAACTCGTATTTTCTATGCTAGTTATTCCTCATGAAGTAATCCCTTCGATAAAACAATTTTGTAACATGATATTCTCTTATATTGTGCTGTAGTTAATCATGAACAATTTGCTGTGAATTTTTATTTATTTATTTTTAATTTCCCACGACGATGGAAAGGTACCTGCTGATGAAGATTGTGAACTCTCTCCACTTGTAACATTTTTCTTCTCGTTTGATCTGCAATGCCAACAACGAAATTCGGGTTATAATATTTTCAAATAGCCAAAATTAATAGTAACCACATAAACAAAAGTAACTAGAAACTATCTATAATACCAAATTTTACGAGATGACGCTAATATTTCAAATACATTTCCATCTTCTAGCTTACTAATTAATACTACAAAACACACTCACAAGCAACTCAAATAAAAGAAGTTAAAAACTAATCACAAACCAAGAAAGCAAACAATTTTAAAAAGACACAAACCTTGGGGTAGGATCTTCATTAGTAGAGTGAAAATTTCCACGTGAATGATCCATGTCTTTGTCTTTTTGCATGCAAGTATGGTCACGACTACCTATATATGCATTGGTATACAACACGAATGAACAAGACCAACAAAAACCTGGTATTTAAAAGGCCCAAATAAACCATAACAATGAACACCCCAAAAAAGGGTCTAACATAAAAAAATTGGCAATGAAAATCAACATCTAATGACAATTTAGAAAATGAGAAACAATGGGTTAGCATCAAAATTGAGATAACAAAAATTTGTTATGTATTACTAAAAATGGCAACTGAGGCAGGTCTGGTTGTCTCAAAATTTTCTGATTCTTTGCATCATTCTTATAGATTTTGGATAGAATTGTTCTCCCGATAGATTTTAAAATTGTGTGGTTTTTATAGTCACGTAAAATCTGGATTGTCCTTGCCATTTATGTTTTTTTTTAAAAAAAACAACTTAGGATAATCTGTGAGTGTTAAAAGTGGGAAGTCAACTTCGAGTTTTGAGATTTTATTGCTATATATTTCCAAAAGTGGCTACTAAGACAGGTCTGCTTGTTTGGCATGAAAAAAATGGAAATTATCTTTTTCCTTTTCTTCATGTTGGGGTCTGCTCTGGTATGAAAGATGAAAATGGAAATTAGTCAGTTTGTTCCCAAATAAAACTTGTCTTAGGTGAGTTTTAGGCAAATTCTATTCAAATCCCTATAACTTTGTAATGTTTCATTTTGGTTTTTATAGATTAAAATTTAATAAGATCGATTTCAATTCACATTAGAACTTATGATCGATGGGTAGGTATGACATTAATTTGGATCAATATATAATTTTTTATGTCTCAGCTCTCAATCTAGTGTACCTATAACCATAATTCATCCTTATTCCCGATCTGATATAGGAAAAAAGCTGGATCAAGGAATTTGTCAAACTGCTAAATATTCAAAATATTTTTTATAAAAAAGTTTATTATTAAGAACCACATAAAATGATAACCTAAAGAAGTAAAGCATAAAAAAAATACTTTTTGATGAAATTAAAGTCTAAAAAATTAATAATTCTTCATCCATGAATTACCACAATATAAATTAAAATCTCTATATAAAAACACACACAAAAAAAAAAAATCTAAATTCCTAAGTTAATTGTTGCTATAGCATTAATATTAGTCAATTTTAATCTATAAGGGTCAAAGTGGAATATTATTAAATAAAGGGACAGTAGTTATAATTTATCCATAAGTTGTTTGTGGGTTGTATGTGAAATCTGGAGCAAACTTTGTAGCCTTTTGGCCCATTAAAATCAAGCCTTGTTTTCTGTGTGTACATGGCCTTCAGAATGAGCCTATCAGATAAAGAAGAAATTAAGCAAAGCTTTCTTATTTATTTATTTTATGTTTTCAGATATTTTATCCCTCATTTGAAGGAAATGGAGGTTGGGATTCTCTTTCTTGTAGTTTAATAATTATTCTATTTATAAAACAAAACATCTAAGTCCCAATATGCTAAATTGAATTGCAATAATTAAATAAATTTAAAATAACTTAAAAATTAAATGATAACACTACTAATAATATGCATACTTATTTGTATTTTTTCTTCTGCTGTCTCTTTGAGGTTAATGTTGTGGGATGAGTTGGTATTGTGGAAGTGGTTGATGCTATTAGTTTCTTTAAAACACCAACTTCTTCTTGTAATGGTGGTGTTTTGATAAAAAATGATGGAGTTAGTTACCTCCATTTCGATGATTCTATTTTAATATTACATTGAAAAAAATAGATTTTGAAATTCTTTGGTTTTGGTTTTGCCAGTACTATCATACGAGGTAATATTATGAAACTTGTAGTATGGTCGAACAAAAGTACTGGCAGACTACAACAAGTGGAAATAATGAAAATATATGGTAATATAATTCCTAATAATGTAAAGAACACAATACCATGAAAATGAAGATAAAGTTACAATAAGTTTGAAAAAATAAATTTGGTTTCGATGTGTGAAAAATGATTTGAAAATGCTACTTGACCATAAATAAATCAATATTAAAAGCGATAAAAGACGAGCAAGACACTATTCAAAAAAAAAAAAAAAAAACCATTACATTTTGTGATGTTTTCACCATTCTAGTGACAACTATACATATCGTTAAGTTATAATCAGAACATAATGGTTTTTTTAACAGCGTTTTTTTTTTTTTTTTTACCTACCATAAAATTGCATATATCAAACGGCGTTTTTATTATTCAAAATTAGTATGCTCTTGGATTAGTCCACGCATCAAATGACTTTATCACGTTTTAGCCAAATAGGAAATGTACAAATATTGTAGATTCATCTCTCTTCAAAATAACATCTATATCTTTTCATTTCATTCGATTTAGATTTATCTCGATTTTTAATGATTAAATTAATTTTATCTTCTATTATCTTCTTCAAAAATTTTTATGATACTTAAGGAGTAATTAATAAGATATACAATAGTTACTTTATGGATCCATTTGGAAGGAAGAGATAGATACATAAAATTATATCCGAACTCATAAAAAATGATAAAAAAATTTTACGTTCGTTTAATTTTTACATACTACTAATTACTTATTGTGTATTATAAAATTTCTCATCTCCTTTTTATTTTTTGTTAAATAATTGTTTAATTATGGACCTGGAGCCCAAGAATACATCAACTTTAGAAAAAGGGAGTATCAAACTCAAGTCTAGCCCAAAATGAATAATAATAATAATAATAATAATAAAGGTTATAATATAGCATTTCTTCGTTAGATATTTAGGAATGAGATCGTTCCTTTCAATGGGACACCATTTTCAAAATTTTATTTTCTACATGCCATAACAAATCTGTTCTGATTCCGACCATAACTTATATCTGCAGTTGTCCTTTTTTGTTATTGTTGAACTTTCTAAACTCATTTTACAATAGTGAAATACATTACAGAATCTTTATTTGGATTTATTTGAGATTCTGCCACACCTAGGATTTGCAAGAGAGAGGGAGTTTTCTGGAGTTGGTCGATGCAGAATTGAGATCATAATATTCTTCAGAAGAGGCTATGGTGATGCTAAGTGTCTTCTCTAATTAATTATCCATCAATGTCTCTAGTTTTGAGCATGGTCGAAGGCCGAACTCTTGTTCAAGACCTTCTTTCTGATCCTATAGGTTTTCAGCGATCAACACAAAATACAAGGCTTGATAGCAACATCCAAGAACAATGCTTGATTGCCTAAGGTGTTCCCCTCCACCCATCTGGTTATCATTCAATGTGGTTCTTAATAATAAAAAATTCTTTCTACAAATTAGTTCGAATTTTTAGCAATTTAAAAAAGTTCTTAATCCAACTTTTTCCTACCAAATAGGGAATAAGGATGAATTATGGTTATAGATATACTGGATGGAGAGCTGAGACAGTAAAAACCCCATTTTAATTTATTCAACTTGATTAATGTCATCCCTGCCCATAGATCAGAAGTTCTAGTGGGAATCTGAAGTCAATCTTATTAAATTTAATCTACAAAAACCGAAATGAAACATTACAAATTTATAGGGATTAGAATAAAATTTGCCTATAATTCTCCTAACAGAAGTTTTATTTGGGAACAAACTAAATTTCCATTTCCATCTTTCCGACCATAGTAGACCCCACCATGAAAAAATGGAAAAAATAAAAAATAAAATTTCCATTTTTTTTTCTTGCCAGACAAACAAGCCTGTCTTAATTGCCACCTTTGGTAATATATAGCAATAAAATTGGATTTACCACTGATTATTCTAGGTTGTTTTTCCTAACATACATGGCAAGGACAATCCAGATTTTACCTTGCTATAAAAAGTCCGTAATTTTAAAATCTATCATAGAATAACTACATCCGAGATCCTCAAGAATGATGCCAAAAATCTGAAAATTTTGAGATTTTTGACACCAACCAACTTGTGTTATCTCAATTTCGATGCTAAACAATTACTTCCATTTTTTAAAATTGTCATTAGATGTTGATTTTTCTTGCCAATTTTGGATGTTCACCCTACTTTGAGGGCCTTTTAAATACCAAAAATTTTGGTAGTCCTATTCATTCAGATTGTATACCAACATACCAATATATATATATATATATATATATATATATAGACAGAGAGAGAGAGAGAGAGAGAGGTAGATTGGACATTCTCACGAAAACAATCCATATCTTTTTGGTTAATCTTATCTATTTGTGTTGCATATCAATACATATACAAGCAATAATGAGCATATTCAAACATAGAATTACATGAATCGTTCTTGTAGGAATTTTCGCTCTACCAATAAAGATCTATACAGAGGTTTGTGCTTTTAAAAGTTGTTTGCTTTTTTGGTTCATGACTCATTTTTTAAACTTATTTTGTTTCTTGTTTTTGTCTGAGTTGCTTGTGAGTGTGTTTTATAATGTTAATTAGTAAGATGAAAAATGAAAATGCATTTGAAATGTGAGTGTCATTTCATAGAATTTAGTACTGTAGAATGTGTTTAATCATAACTGAAGGTAATTAATGTAGATAGTTTATAGGGATAATTACAAGGCATACTCTAGGGATAATTACAAGAAATACCCTTTAAAAAATCTTTTAATTAAAAAATTCATTTAATTTATTTTTAAATCTCTCAAATCCAAAATAATATTTTTCTTTGTAAAACTCCTAATAATTATCCATTAACTTAACACTAGTTACTTATTAGTTGTTTTGATAAGAAATATATTATTTTGAGTTTAAGAGATTTAAAAATAAATCAATAGGTTTTTTAGATTCGAGATTGTTTTTAAGAAATTTTTTAGTAATTATCTAATAATAATCTCATTTTATATTTTTTAATGAGTTTGACACTGATTTTCTTTTTTCTATCATGATTGAGTTTAAGTTTTTTCTTATTACAATCGAAAAAATGAAAAAGTTTCATAAGGTTCTTTCATTACAGATGCAATAACCTTCGACTATTATTTTTTCATTAGACTAAATTACTCTTTCTATAGGAATTTTAATTTATTTC